TCATGAGACGTCTTCGCGAAGACAACAAGGCCGGCAACTGCCGGCGAGAGCGACCCCTGGATGGAGGAGAGGTTCGCCTGGTCCTGCCCCGTCCAGACGCGATGGGCCGGATTGTAGACCGGACCGTGCACGCTGTCTACCAGCGCGGGTGGGCAGGGAAGCGATCCGTCGACGTAGCCTAGCAAGTAGTGACTCCCCAAGAGCGGGAGAACCTGCGCACGCCAGAAGATGTAGTTGTCGGCGGAGAGCTTGATGGTGATGAGATGACCGAAGTGAAACGGCGGCGGCGAAGACGATCCCATCGAGGAGGCTGCCTGGGGTGCAAACACCATGGAGGCAGCCGGAGGCACCGAAGCCGATGCGGGAGGAGGCGGGACCGCAGCCAGGGCGGGCACCGCAAAGCTCACGGCCGGTGCGGACGCCGCAAGGCCCGCAGCCGGGGCGGACGCCGCCAACCCCGCCAGCGGGGCGGTGTGATCCGCTTGCGGCAGGAGCGGCGGGACGACGCCTGCGGAGTCCGCAGCGAACGGCGGCGCCGCGGTGTGGACCACGAGATCACGCCCGAGCGAGGGCGCCGGCGGCGTGGAGAAGACGGAGCCGATGCTCCTTGTCCCGATCGGAGCGGGAACGGAGACGGCATCGAGCGGGAGGTTGAGCAGAGCCGCAAGAGAGGCCGGGAGGAAGCCCGCAGCAGTGGAACCGGTGGTGGCGGCGCTCGACATGGCGGCGGCGCGATCGGTGGCGCGGCGGCGGCGGTGAAGGCGGCGGCGGCTGCGGCGGCGGTGCGGGTATTAGGGTTTAGAAGCGGAAGCGATCGTAACCTAGCGTGATACCATGTAAGACAATAAGTTTTAGGAACCAGCACAACCCTCTAGGAGTGGCTTATCTCATTATATATAATGGTTCTGTTACAATACGTACATAGGTACAGAAGCTATACATAGTCTAACAGTGGGCGGGCGCGACCGACCACCGTCCTGTGGCTTTGCCCGTGGAGCGGGGGCGGGGGCTCGTGGTGGTCAGGCAGGGGTCCGTCCGCCCGGCACTGCTGCATGCATGCATGCATGATGCGTCGTCCTCCCGGCTTCGTGGCTCGTGGGCGCGGCGAGCAGCAGCTGCCGCCTGCCGGCCCGGCACAGTGCACCAACAGTACTCGCCTTCGCGGCCGTCTCTGTCCTTGCTGCTTGCTTCTCGGTGCGACGCGGCGCGATTCGAGCGCTCTGTTTGCCCAGTTGCACGCCCCTCTTTCTGGTCGGCGCGGGAGCCCTCCCGTGTTACCTCCCGTGCTTGCGCATCACCGCCACCGGGCATCTCACACCGGTGGAATCATTGACGTACGGCGGTCACACGGTCCATACGGCCTGCTCGGTTCAAACAATATTACTGCGAGGCGAAATGGACGTGTTCTCGGGCTAGCACATCATCAGAGCTTTCGATTCACCGTTGAATGGCCCTTTCACAGTTTTCACCGGCCTTTTCTTTGTCGAGTTTTAATGTTTTTTTTGTTTTGTTTCTTTGTTTCCTTTGTTTTTCTTTCCTACTTTATATTCTTTTTTCGATTTTTTATTGGTTTTCTTTGTACATTTTTCGTATACTCTCGAATACGCACGAGTGTGCGTACTATATATTAAAGGGAGAGGATGGGAACAAGAAGCCCTCCACGTTGAACCCTTTTTATATACACGTTTAACATTATTTAAATACATGATTAACATTTTTTATAACTTATATTTTTTGATGTCTACTTTTACCAAACACACTGTACATTTTCCATATACACCAGGAACACTTTTTATATACTCTACAAGTTTGCAAATTTTCAAATATGTGGCTAACATTTTTGATAACTTATATTTTTTATGCCTACATTCTTCCAAACACACCATAGATTTTTGTATACACCAGGAAAAAAGTTATATACAGGTTTCACATTTTGGAAATACATGATTAATATTTTTATAACATATTTTTTTAGTCTACTTTTTCATAAATGTTGTACATTTTTTGTGTACATCAGGAACATTTTATTTCTACATGTTTATCATTTTTCAAATACATGATTAATATATTTTAAACATATTTTTTTGTTTAATTTTTTCTACACATATTCTACATTTTTGTATACATCAGGAACATTATTTATATACACATTTAACATTGTCCAAATACATGATTAACATTTTCAAAAACTTATATTTTTATGTCTACTTTTTTCCAAACACATTATACATTTGTGGTATGCATCAGAATCATTTTTCTATACTCATTTAACATTTTTAAAATGCATGATTAACATTAAAGGAAAACAAAAGTTTTTTTTGTTACTACCTCTTTCCATATGCATTGTACATTTTAAGTGTACATCAAAAACATATTTTCTATACACATTTAACATTTTCTAAATGCATGACTTAAAATTTTCAACTTTTGAATATAAAGCAATTTTTATAATAGGTATGTTCAGAATATTTCAAAATACAGGCAAAATTATAAAAATAAAACAAAAAATGAAAGAGAAAATGTTGGAAAATGGAAGAGAAAAGGGTTGAAAGCCGGTGTCCATGCTGGGCCGGCTCAATCAGGCGGCTACCTGATGGGCTACCCTCAAACCGCTAACATGGGCCAGCCCATTTTGCAGGAATGGACCAGTTTTTCTTTTTTCTCCTTATGTTTTTTTGCTAGTTTTACCTGATATTTTCCCTGCAGAAATGATATATGAGCAATGTCAAATATTTTGATTGGATCAAAGGTACGAATCTTGGCACACGTTAACCAGCCACGACGCAAGCACACACTCATTCGCTGAGGGTAGGTACCAGGCGAACAAAACACAACTCGGTCTATTTCATCCAGCCACTTGCCAACACTCTCTCCTCGTCTCCATTTCCCATCGCATCTCCCCACTACATCTCCCCTCTCCGAGCGATTCCGCCGGAGCCCTGCACGTGCGGCTCCGGCATCGGCGTCGCGCTCCCTCTGTTGTCGGGGGACTAGGAGGCGCACCGCCTGTTTCTGCCCCTCACCATGAGCCCTCGGCATCTCACCATTGATCCACTTGGAGGAGGTCCCGGCTAGGGGGCCTCTCACATCGTCTTCCAGCCTGTTTGCTTGGGCCGAGGACCCCTTATCTGTTTCGTGGTGGTCACATCGGGCGGCCCATGACGCATAAACAGAAGGATCCAGAAGACCTGGCGTGTACTCCAAGAAGTTGGATTCGTAGAAGACTCCATTTCCTCATACATTGCCACTAGGATACTATAACCCTAGGACCCCCCCCCCCCAAAATCTATATAAACCAAGGGGCTAGGCTCTTAGAGGACACATTACAATTTCTGGGTAGTCACAAGCATGATGTAGCGTATTATCTCCTCGGAGAGCTCGAACCTGGGTAAAATCTCTCGTGCACGTTACCTTCGTGCCTAGACGCTTAGCTTAGGATCCCTACATCGAGATCTGCTGAGAGGATGGTTTGTCCTGCTTGACCCAGACGATGTGCGCTTGGTGGGGGACCATGTCTTGTGCGTCGTCAGCCATGGTTACCATGACAGCCGGCGGCGGGCACGGCAATGAGCCATCGATGTAGCCGAGAAGATTGTGGGTACTGAGTAGAGGAAGGGCATGCGCACTCCAGTACAAAAAAATCTCTGTCGGCAGCTTGATGGTAAGCAAATGGGCGAAGTGGAACAACCCAGGTTTGGGCACTTCAGTCACCATGGGTGGGTGGGCGGGATAGAGCTAGACGACGACCGAGGGAGCACTCGGGGGAGGAGCAGAGGGAATCACCTCGGCCATGAAGGAGTCGAAGGTGTGCTCGGTGCTGGAGGAGCCAGCTGTGGTGCTGACCACAAGGGCATTGTTGGTGCCTGCGAGGAGGGCGGCTAGGGTTGGAGAGAAAATCCCTCCGGTCATGGCGGCGACAGCAGGGCGACGGAAGACATGAGGACGACCTAGTCTGATACCATGTAAAAGTAATAAAAGTAGGTTTAGAAGGATTGAGGGAATCGCATACCCCTTGGAGTGCATACGTCTCTTTATATATTGCACATGTGTTGGTACAAGTACAAGATATGTACTGTGTTAAAACCTACAATCGTATACAATGTGAATTCTAAAAATTGATAGGATATAATACTCGTGAGGAATTCTCGATGCACATTAACGACTTCATTTGAAACACAAGACCGATCAGAATAGGTGATTCATCTCCATGCTGTATTCTCAAAAAGGACCAGGTTACTCCAATCAAGAATCGCTCTATTGTAGTAAGATTCTAAGACTTTACGTTCCAAACAAATCACTTTGATTCTATGATTTTGGTTACTAGAATCTACGTTTTTACGATCCTGATAGTTAAGATTCTACAATTTACATTTCTACCGTCAGAGCTCCTAATCATGATTCTGACAACCTGGACTCCAATAACTGCCGCGCCTGTCCAGTGACGACGACTGATTTGAGACGGAATCCTCTCAGCACCATAGATACTCCGTCCATCAGAAAGTCAGATAATCTGCTTCATCCCGTTCCAATCGTCCACTCCGCCCCGCGCAGCGCATGCCGGAGGCGGCAAGGGATCGAGCAAGGCACATCGGCGTTCGCACTGGCACCAAGCCCTAAACGAATAGGAAAACCACGGAGCCTTGCAGACGCCGTTGCCACTGTTTTCAGCACACGTAGCTTGCAAACGAGCCCATTCATGCGGTACGGTCAGTTGGACAGATTGAGAGACAAACATGCACCACCATTTACATCGTCATCTTCATAAAATCCAAGCACTGTATATACACTTTGGTTGGAGTACACACAACACGCGCGCACTGCATGAACTCCCTTCTACTCTTCAGACCACCCTGAACCTTGCCTTACAGGCACAACTAATTATAAGCAGCTAAAGCAGCAAAATCAAGCACTTAATTACGCGCGTAGGCTTCCACGTACCATTCATACGTACTACACACCCCGACGGCCGACGCACGCACGCACGCTGGGATCGAGGTTGATTACATGCCGCCGATGCAGGAGAAGATCCTGGCGCTCCGGCCCCTGCGCATCGCCCCGCGGGCCGGCCACTCGGGCGCCGCGGAGCCCACCTCGCCGGCCAGCTCCTCCAGCGACCGGTGCCGCCAGTGCCCCGCCTCCCTCCCCGCGCCGTCCGCCGCCGCCCACTGCTGCTTCTGCTGCTCCCAGACGTCTTCCTCGTCCGCGACGGCGGCGCCGCGCGCCGAGCCGCACCTGGAGTAGCTCCGGGTGCGCCGCTCCTTGATGGCCTTGTAGACGAACGGGATGAGCCCCTCCATTATTTGTCGCTCGGTCGGTGGCTGGCTGGCTTTGGAATCGATCGAGCTTGGGACAGGGAGGGAGGCCTCGTCTTATACGGGGTGCAGGTGCAGTTCTGTCTACGCCCGTGCTCCGGGCGACGGCTTCTTGTAGGTTTCAGCGGGCATGCTCGTCGACAGATTAAAGAAAAGCCATTTGACTCGGGATTTTCCCTCGCGTGTGGTGGCGTGGTGGAGTTGCAATTGGGCTTTGGTTATGGTTGCTTGTGCCCGACTGCCAGAAAACCTCCGATGTTGACGGCTTTGTCTAGCTTCTACCCGATCGTGCTAATCAATCAGTGACCGGCCATTAGCCAACTTCAGTTGTCTGGCCAGCCGATGGTTTTGGTCGGACGGCTGTTCTTTTGCCTTCTTCGAGTTCGTGGTTAGGCCGTCCGTAGGTACTTGCCGGTATATGCCGGACCAGATTAGGCAGCCTGTAGGCAACAGGCGCTCATGATCTTGTTCGGAAAAGCAAACTACTTTCCGTTGCGATGGGTCAAAAAATAAGAGCATGGAGAAAACTGCAAGGGTCGGAATTAATGTGACAGAATAAAACTGCAAGGTTTTGATGCGTGGCGAGACGAGATAACGTCTGAAAGTCACCTCGATGTTGCCCATATAGGTATAGTTTTTCTAGAGCTAGATACGGGTACATTTGAGGTAGGCGTGTACTCTGGATTGGCGCAAACCAATGAAAACTCCGTCTCTTTGGACAAGTTTGACCTGTATCTCTCAGCAAAAACACGAGGCCAATGATCATTTGTTTGATCTCCAATAAAATTCCGAATCCATACAAAAACGGTAGAATCAGGAGGCGGAAAAAAGAATACTAAGTTCCAAAAACACGTAATTGCTGATACCTGGCATAAATGGGAATCGATTTGTTAAACCAATCATCCAGCTAATCCTTGTACAGCACGGCATGGACAGCGGCAGAAGGCACTTCTTAATTGGCAACACGGACAACTAACACATGCATGGTTCCGTTTAAGAATTGCACTCGCTCATTGACGCTGCAGCAGCTAGTAGCAATCACACGAAAACCGAATCAAGTACAATCAACTTGATATCATGATACAGTCCCGCGAATTGATTTGAAGAAAACGAGCTCTGAAGCCTCCGACCATGTCGCTGGATAAGGTTGAAAGCAGTTGATAATGTTTAATAATCGGTCAATTGGCTATCAGTCTGCAGGCAGACAATCTATGCGATCATCGCTGCGCGCCTTGGGTCTGATCTGGGTAGAGAAAGTGGTGACGTGCTGCCGAGGTGGAGCCCAGGGGAGGCTTGATTCGCCACGGCAAGCCTCTGCAGCGGACACGCCGACATGACACCACGACGGTTAATCTGACAGTAATACCCGGGCCGAATCAGGACTTGTCTGAAACTCTGAAATTTCACGGTTTCCATATGTCCAGGGCTCCAGGTTTGCAGAAATCTCCCACGATTTTCCGTTCAAAGTTTCACCAAGGTGCTGTCAAATATTTCGATTCCAAAAGAAGCCCAAAAGAGGTAAGGTAACGAGAGCTTTCATTATGAAGCGTACGTACACAGATCCTTTCTTCAGGTTCAGGTTTTTGGTTTGCTCCATGGCTCTACTTTTACCACCAATTAGCCGGATCCGAAGCACAGGTCTAGCATTTAAAACTGCTGTTCGGCCACATGCCTTTTGTTTTCTTGACCCCAGCGTTTGTCACATTATCCACAGAGTTCTGCTTATGTGGAAGCGGATACGGATACCGGATGATGCTATCCCTTCCTCCGGAAGCATGCATGTTCTCCTGGGTGGCTTCGTTCTCAGCCTGTCGCCGTTTCGTCATAGACAAATAGACAACCTGAACTGACAGCTTACCTAACCCGTTGTTACCGAGAAAAACTAGTACATCAGCGTGCTTCCGTCGTCCTCAAATGATGAACTTTGTCTTGGGATCATGAGGACTGTTTCTTGACGAACAGGTAAGGCGCAAGGCCACTCTGTCCGTGTGGTATCCATCAGGAAACAGTTACAGTGATGCTAGCAAAGCGAGATTATCCTCTATGATCGTTTTCATTTTTCCAAGTGCAGTTTGCATCACTTTCCCTTGATCAACACACTTTTGTTTTGGACTGATCGGTGCAACTTGCAAAGTGCTCTCTCTGTAAACAAATATAAGACTTTTTAGATCACTAGAGGCGGCATCATCGGATCAACCTTCCTCGGTTCTAGGCTTCGGCGGCGTTTACTGGGTAGTCTGAAGACAGGGCTGACAGCGAGGCATCTACCAACCAAACTAGACCGGATGATAGGCCGAGAGGCAACCTCGTTATTATTATCGACAGCGAGGCATGAAGCTGCCTGGTAGATGGCCGCCCATAACAAAACGCACAAGAATTCAATGGCAGGTCGCCATTGCCATCCAGCGAGCATCAGGCATCAGCGCTTAGTCCAACTGACCGAGATTTTCGGTTTCCGCCTCTATCCGTAGCTGAAGGAATACGCATACTTTTCTCATGGTTCAGTGACCTCCTCCCGTATTTTACAACACATTTCGGATGCACTCTCTGACGGTCGAGCTGGCATGCCGCCGCGCGATAGACCGGCCACCGAACACGAGCAGCTAGCTAGCACGTAGCAGCTCGCGCAATAGACCGGCCTCCCAAGCTTGCGCCTGCATCGGCAATTCAGTATGTTTGCGCTGCCGCCGTTGTTTCGCCGTCGGCTGGTTTAGTATTGCGCGCTGCGGCCTGCGAGTGCTCCGTGAGAGGGAAAGGCGTTGTGCGTTCGCGTCGGCACGTCGGAATTTGTGTCGGATGCTCAGCTCGACGTGGTAGGCTCTTCTCGGAATCTCAGGCTCGCAGGCTCGCAGCTGTTCCCCTTACAAACAGAGCACCAACTTTTTCAGGGTAGTCGCCAGGCAGTGGCCACGCCTCAAAGTTTCTCATGCCAACCCTGAACGAAAGCGGTAAAAAAGGAAGACTGGGCGTATTGCCTTTTTTTTTTTAGAAACACTTGGACGCATTGCAGGCTGTATATACCTCGCCCACATAGGCCGGCCCACAAACGCCGGTAAAGAGAGTCCATGTGTCGCTCAAGAAGCTCGGCCTATTGACATGCACAGCCTGTTTTTCCTTTTTACACTGAAAAATGCGATATTTAGAAAATATTTATTTTGGTAATATTTTATAATAGTTTAATTCGTTCATAATTAATAAAATTTAAAATAAAATTCGTGGATGGCCAAAAAATATTCAACTGCGTCAACCTAGATGGTTATGTATTTCATAAAAGTATTCATGTATTTTTTATATGTTTTGGTATGTGCAAAAATGTTCATGAGTTGCAGAAAAAAATGTTTCCCGTGTGTTAAATTCAAGGGTTTCAGTAAACTACCTGCACCGGTCATTTTGGCCTAGGTTTAGAACTCACATATGCGAAAATTTAAATCCGTGTCTATCAAAATGAATGTTTATGTGTTTTAGAAAAAAAAGCTTAGCGGTAAAACTAATCTTCATATATCTTTAAGCCAAAGGTCCATGAGCTTTTAGGCCCATATGTTCCGAAATAAATGTTCTTCTGTCTCATAACAAAATCATGTGTCTACTCCTCAACAAATAAATAATAAAACTATGAGATGGAAATGCAAAACTTGATAGATGAAATATGAAACAATGAAAGAGATGAAACAACAAAAGATAATAAAAAACATGACATACTGACATAAAAATAAAAGAACAAAGTATAATAAAAGACAACTTAATGTTACTGAGCTGCAGCCGATGCATGATATTTTTAGGGAAATGCATGAAAGTACATAGGCGAGAGCTTTGTGCAACTCGTAGTAAGCGAGATATAGGGTTAGCAATGCATGAGCTGGTCCATTGCACAATGGATTCATGAATGGAATTTAGTATGGGACAACTCACTGTCTCAAATATGTATAGTTCACCTAGAGATTACCTCGTCTCACATGTAGCAAGATCCCATCTGCTTTGATCTATGAGGAGCTAACATGATACTTAAGTGTTATACTCAGTGCCGCCACACCAAGGAGTTCATCTTATTCCTCACCAACCCACTTTGCCATGAGGAGTTCATCTAAATGGCAGTCATCCTATGGGTCAGTGACGTCGGTGTGTCACAACAAGCATGGCATCTTCACCGGGGCATCGACGATGGTGTTTAAAGATAACATATTGACCCAACATCTTGAAGGCTTTAGTTTTCCTTGAAGTGTTCAACCTCGTTCAATACATATTTTGAGTATTTAACAATTTTGTCATCTTGTCAGATTGCTTGGAGGTGTCTCCAAAAGAATTGGTTGAAGCTGGTGACCATATTCATGAAGGAAGTAGGGGAAACTATAGCTAGCACAGTGATTCATGAGATCACCAATCAAACATGAAGCTTCACCGACACCTCCATCAGGATATAAGATCAACTAATGTCCATATGCTCATCGGATGAACATTTGAGTGCAATCAATTAAAAGTTCTATATGAAAATGATACCGAACTCCATTTTTTGGTCAAATCCTTCCAGTCGAACTATACATCCTACACTCAAAATATATAAGAAATATGAAAAAAAAACTTATTTATGGGATGTTTGGACGTTGGGAGCCAAACATGATTCACAGACTAAACTTTGTACTTAAAAAGACGCTCTTAGGATGGCGCTTAAGCCTAAGCTCTAGGTGACAACAAAGGTTTAACGTTAATATGCGCATAATTGGACTTAAGTCCACGCTTTGGTTAAAAAATCACAAGGCGATGACTGGACGCGCGATCAATGTCTAGCACTATTTAAAACCTTCTTCTTAGTGTCTTGTACTACTAAAGACACTAGATATCACTACATGGCTGCTTTTGCATATTTTGAGGAAAGCAACATAGCTTCTCAACAAAGCTCATCCAGTCATGCTTTTGCAATGAACAATAAAAAATGTTTTTTGTGAACTACAAATAAAACACATTGTTTTTCAAAATAAACTTGCAAATAT